AAGAATCACAAACGGTTCATCAAACTATTATTTTTAGTAATTAAATTTATCAAAAGTGGTTGTCATGAGAGGAAGTAACTATCGTACAAATGATGAAAGGTTATGTATTAAATTGTCTTTGTTACATATAGGTATGTTTCAAATTAAATTTATCTTGGCAGTTATCTCTCTCACACACATACAATGTTTACTCATATACTGGATATTAAGTCGGTCAATAAACGAAGGTCCTGATACAATAATAATTCTTTTCAGTCGAAAGTTTCAAATATAAAGTTTTAATATAAAATACGAAGATAATAGTAAACGTCCAAGTTTTTAATATAGCATAATTTTGGACTCTTGATTTAACATTATTCTTTATTATGTATTTAACCAAATTTTTGCTTCTGAGTCACTGAAACAATGAGTTTTTTTTACCATTTTTAAAAACAAATTATACACCAGTAAAATGATGAATTATGGGGGGGGGGTATTTGAAAGTATAATTTTTATGAATTTTATTTTCGAGAATAGTTTTTATTTGAAGCCCAGAAAATTACATTAATTACATAAGAGAGAGAAGCTTATGTTAAACTTTTAATTTTAATTTTTGTAGCGATTAAAAAATCTGTACTTTTGTGAATTTGAGTTGTATTATTGTTTTGTCTCTTATAATTTATGAAGAAAAATTACCGTGGTCTAATTATTATTGTTTTATATGATTTTTTATTTGTGAAAATGTAACCGCTATTATTTTAATTATTTTATATATAATTTTTTTGTTTTTATTGTGATTTATTTTTTATTTTAGAAAGAAAGTTCGATTTTTTTTATATATAATTTTGGGTACTTATTTTTTCGTTAATTTATGAAAAATAGACGAGTTTTTAGTCATATATTCGTATTGTGTTTTGCTGTGTGAAAAGTGCATATATATATATATATATATATATATATATATATATATATATATATATATATATATATATATATATATATATATATATATATATATATATATATATATATATATATATATATATATATATAACAAAGAAATATGTCTGTGTGTTTGTTTGTGTGTCTGCACGAGAATCTCGGAAACTAGTTTACCGATCTGTAGTGATGATGGATGGTGTTATATGTAGTGATGATGGATGGTGTTATATGTAGTGATGATGGGTGGTGTTATATGTAGTGATGATTAGACAATAAAATAATAACAATTTAATGCTAAAAAAATGTACTTTCCTGTACCGTTGTAGTGAGAAACATGGTGGAAGTTACATACACCGTTAATGAACTATTGATGGAAGAAGAAGTTTTGGGGACTGAACAGTGAGACAATGTGGAGCCTCTCATTGAGAACTTAGAAGGTGGTGGGGGAGGAGGAGGGGGGTAAGGAAGGAGAGGATGACCCCTGGTGGAGAGGTCGTGGTGTGAGAGTCGTAGAAATTACCTCAGCACACTTTCCCGCTGAACCTAATTTTCTCGAAGTCATCCGCAAACTTGCTTATGTCACTGCTGATCCCAGTATCTAAATCGTTTATGTAGATTATGAACAAGAGTGGGCCTAGTACTGACCCCTGGGGAACCCCACTGGTTACACGGCCCCACTCAGATTTAACACCATCTACGCTGACCCTCTGCGTTCTATCGGTGAGCCATGATTTCATCCAATTTAAAACTTTCCCCTCGATACCATGAGCCTTAATTTTTCTCAGAAGCCTCTGATGCGGTACTCTGTCAAATGCTTTGCTAAAGTCTAAGTAAATAACATCGTAATTTTCGCCAGGAAATTACCGGAGACTGGCGGGACAGCCAGTGGTAATTCGACGACACTTGTGAGATATCTACTGCTTCTGTACATTCGACTTGGTCGCTGGTAACCAGCGGTGAAAGCTGGGTAAGTGGTGAAAGGAGGGTCGTAACAATATACTTAAACTTTACTATTAAAGCTAGTTATTACGTTTAGCTACGTTATCTAAATATAAACTATGATATCATAAAATATAGCTTCTGACTATGTCCCACTGTTTAACGTCTTTAATTGTAACGTTATTATACTTTAGTACACTACTTGCTTTCAGAAGTGACCCCGCGGAAGAGAATTTTCGCGTGCTATCCATTTAAGATTGAAATATATCCGTTTTCTTTAATGTACAAATGTAATAGTTTTCTGTGACATTGACTCAAGATTGAGTGGACTACTCTACCAAATTTTGTGTCAAACCTTCAAACAACATTGCGAGGGACAGGATGACTGATGGAGTTGGGAAGGTAAGATGGCTGGGTGGGATTAGGAAGACATACTTGCTAGACAGGTTCTTTCTTTCTTGTCATATTCGTTGTGATGTCTTATCTTGAATGGCAGCATCAGTTTGTATAGCATCTTTCCAACTGAGTTCTTGTGGCATCATGGCTTATATAATTGATTTACGAGAGACGAGCACTCACTTCTTGACGCTCCTTCCATGTCTATCAGGTATGTACTTTACTTTTACTTTTATCCTCTTCGCCACAGACCGGCCCGTTAGCTGCTTGGGCGGTCGGTCATGTCTCTGATACACACTGTTGGAAGATGCTGGGCATGCACTGGCTCCTGAACATATCGGAACCTGCTCCAGTGTTGGTCAAGTCTGGTTTTGAAACAGCTCTCACACCCGGTGCCGTCACAACACTCTCCGGTAGGTTGTTCCAAGAATTCACAATTCTCGCCCCGAAAAAGTTCACCCTCACAGTTTTCTGGACTTGCGGCTTCTGTAACCTTGAGCTGTGACCCCTTGTGGGGCGGACGTCTGCCAAATCCAGGTATGGACACTCGACTGAGTAGTGCCCCTCGAGATGCTTATACACTTCAATTAGGTCACCCTTTGCCCGCCTGTAGTATAAGCTAGGCAGTTGCAGGCACTCGAATCTCTCTGGATAGCTGAGGTGCCGAAGTGCAGGCACCAGTTTGGTGGCCCTCCTTTGGACATTTTCAATCAACTGACAGTCCCTAGCATATCTCAGGGACCAGACGGGGTAACAGTACTTCTCACAATGGCCTGAGAACTTCATTTCATTGTCTACATACACACCTATATCCTTTTCACATTCGGTCTCTATTAATGCAGTTTCTTCGTCCCGATGGGACATGTGATACGCCTCCTTACTGTTGGTACGACCTAAGTGTATCCTCTTACACTTTGTGACATTGAATCTTAGCAGCCATTTCTTCGACCATTCTTGAAGCTCACAGAGATCTTTCTGCAGCTCTTCACAGTCTGTTTGGTTCTTAATTTCCCTAAATAAATTGATATCGTCCGCAAACATTTGTATGGAGGGGTATATAGCTTCTAGCATGTCATTTATGAAAGAAACAAACAACAACGGTCCCAATACACTGCCTTATGATACTATCTATCACCACACACTGCGGTCATAAAGTTTCTGATCCACGCTAGGACACTTCCCTGAATCCCGTACCCTTCCCAGTTTAATTTTCAGCCTTTCATAGGATACACTGTCGAAAGCCTTGGCAAAATCTAGGTATATATTGTCGATATTGCTACCTTATCCAGAATTTGAGTCCAAACATCCAGGACCTAGAGTAATTGTGTTAAGCAGGAGCGTCCCTGCATAAAATTCATTTGCTTTCCAGTCTGTGTAACTTATTTTTAACATTCGCCTATAACGCCTACATCTTTATGCTGCACGGTAAATGTTGTAAACTCAATTATAAAGCATGTCTGCATGATAGTGTGTGGACCAAAACTTATAGTAGCACACAAGCAGACCTGTCTAATAATTGGGCGATAAATCCCAGTACAACATTTCCCAGTCTGAAATAGCTGGATGATCCTTGCTGCTCTTTCCAAGAGGGTTTCCTTATTTACGTAATGCTCACTTACTAAAGGTGGTCATGCCGAAGAAGGAGCCCAGTGACCTGTGAAGGATCCCTCCATTGTTCTCGATAATTTTGTCAAGGCCTTTTTATAATAATCTTTTCCTTCAGTTATAACCCTGTTGTGAAATTGCCGTCAAAAATATATCTTGCTGGCATTTTAAAAATCTACCGTGATAACAACTCTGTTAGACTGTTACAAATAGAAAGTGCAAGGAAATCCTTAACCATGAACTTCAAGGTGATTTGGTTAGTTCTTCCTGACTTAGACCATTAAATGCATGACTGGTAGAAGCAGCAAGCACAGTGGCAGAGAACAACAGCAGGGGGTGGGGGAGAACAATCTGTGCGTCCCTAATGCCCTGACACTTCCGGCCAGCTCGAACACACTTTGGGGAGTTTCCGTACAAGTGATAACCTCCGAATTGCACTGGTCTTGCCCTGACTCGCACTGCTCATGTTTGTTGTATTCTATTAATGTTCTTGTTAACAATACCTCAAAACGCTGGTCTATACAGTATAATATTTACAAGAGATATCTATAATGCCTTACAGAAGATATATTAAAACAAATTTAATAATAATTAAAAGGGGCAAGACATGACCGTGATGCCCCTGGAAAGAGCAAGACCATTGGGGGCATAGATAAGGGTTGCTTGTGTGTGTGTGTGGCGTATATGTTGTGGGCATGTGGCCAACCCCCACCCTTTGCTACTGCCCTCAACTCATTCAACCCAACACAACCAGTTCATGAGGATGTTAAGTACTTAAAATAATAATTCAGGTCTATAGTCGGGGAAAAAGCCTCCAACATCAGTACTGGCCCTAAAATATGTCCTACGTTTCGTTACGGATGGCCTTAAAAAAAGTCCGTGTAATACATCAAATTTCAAAATTTTCTCGGGGTTTTACAGCTCCCCGAATCCCTCAGCTGTATGGAAATCAAATAATGCCCCTATCTTCTCCCCTTTCTTGAAACTTCTCTACGCCACTGCATGACGGTGACAATCTGTGGGTCACACTTCGGAGAACCCTGACGCCGGATGGATGAAGACGGTTAGACATGGGGCTGGACTTAACCTTGCAAAACAAGACTTACCTACCTGCTCCCCTCCCCACTTCCTCCTCGGCCCCAACTGGAGCTATACTGTACTGTCGATAGTGGAACTCTCGGCGGGCTGGGGGCCGGTGGCTTAAGCTTAACCAGTTGTTGTGGTGCGTCCGTAGTAGTGGGACGTCTATTGTGTATTAAGATTTTTACTACATTTTACAAAGATTCTGAGATGGTGAGTTCATTTGATTCATTTCAGTATATCAGTATCTGATACGACTGCCAAGTCTTTTAAGTGTATTATCGTTTCTTAAAACTTTTTGTTCTAATTAAATGCTTCTGTAGTCCTCTGTAGTGCATTATAACGTGACGATATATTTTGTATTATTAATTTCTCAGGAACTTGATTTTTTTTGTTTATATTCTTATTAATGAAATGTATCTTTAGTCAACTTGACGTTGTGGATGACACCTGTTGATATAATGTGAGAAATCTCACACCCTCTTAGCCACTTCCCTCTCGTCATGTCTTAATTAACCTATTCTCTCACTTCACTTATCTGTGGTTTCCTGAACATGATCTGCTTATTCCTTAAATTGTCTGTTGTCTCCCTACTTTGATACGTTTTATCCCCGATTGGATTTTTTTTCTAGCTTGATCTATTTTGCCCCTAATTTGATTCTTTTGTCCTTATAACTACCTGTTAATTTTCTAACATGTCTATTTTATCCTTATTTGCTTTTTTGTTATCCCACATAATAAATTATGTGTATTTCTAGATTGAACGATTTTTTATTTGAATTATCTTAACTGAAGTAAAATTCGTATCTTCAACCCAGTTATAAAAAATGCGACCTTAATTTTTTGAAGTTGTTCATTTAAATCAAACTAAGATATAATACCTTATATATATATATATATTCAGCATTTTATAAGATGTGCGCTTATTAGGTTTTTAAAGTATTTTTAACGTATTACACGAGATCCTCCAGGGTCCTTGTGTTTACGAGTTCGAACGCCAACCATTTCTCTTAACTGAAGATATAAGAATTCATTTAACTGGTTAACGTAAGCCAAGACAAAAATAGCATCATATTACACTGACAGTCTTAACTACTGAACATATACCTGATTAACAGTTAAGGTAGAGTCTCAGTGTATTAGTAACATCTACAAGTGTATTAGTAACGTCTATAACTTAACAGTGCATATCAATAACTTCTTTAACTTAACAATGTGTATCAGTAACGTCTATAACTTAACAGTGTATATCAATAACATCTATAACTTAACAGTGTGTTAGTAACGTCTATAACTTAGCAGTGTACAGGTATATGTTAGTAACGTCGACAACGTAACAGTGTATCAGTAACGTCTGTGTCAACAATGTATCAGTAACGTCTATACATAAACAGTGTATTGGTAACACTAGATAATCTCATTATTTAGCGCTTCTTAAGTCACCTGAAATATCGTTCCTGGAGATGACGTCACATAATTCCCGCCCAGCCTTCGCGATACCAAATTTTATCTGACGTCGTCATGGACACGTCTGTGATGATAACGCAGGAAGCAGGTAGTTAGATGAGGAAGCAGAGAAAGATGAAGGTTATTTACAAAATTATCAGACGTATATATTTCGAGACCATAAAATCGGAGTGATGCATGATAACTACCGAAACTGGAAGTAAAATAATAAATATCACCTGTAACAACACTAGGAAAGGTTGTACGGAGGCCGCGGCCAGTTTTGATAATTACCAAGCATCACGCTCTCCTGGTTTATAGTCACCAACGACCATCTCGAAATATATGGGTCTGGTATTTTCTTAAATATACCTCATTTTTCTCTGTTTCCTCATCTATAACTACCTGCTTTAGCTTACACCTTTAGACCTTGCAATGAGAATTTTCATGACGACGGGACCTTCCTTGACTGACGCACTGTTACGCTCACAATGGTGTACTGTACTGTACTGTACTTAACTCCTGGCCAGGAATAGGTAAGGTAGAACAGGAAGGCTGGGGGGGAGGGGGGTAAATAATATGTGCATGTCAGCGGAGGCTGTAAGAGAGTAAAGGGAAAAAAGGATAAGATAATAGAAAAAATTGGCCTTGGATGAGGGACGTAAGAGTACGGTGAATAGGGAATGAATGAGAGTAGAGTGAGTGAGAAGCAGGTCACAGAGTGCAGGCCTGAGTCACAAGTTTTGACCGCAGGGCGCAGATATAACCGCCAATTGCATTTGTCATCAAGTTATTGGAAGCTCCAACAACTCCCTGAATACGAATTCGCAACTTTCGACTTACAACAGGTACCTACTTTACTGCTAGGTGAACAGGGACTAATGGGGGCTAGGAAATATGCCCAAACAACTTCCACCGGCCCGGGAATCGAACCCGTGACATCTCGCTTTCTACGTCCTTGACTCTTCAAGCTTCTACGCCCTTAACTCACGAGACATAAAGGCAAGCATGAACTTGGCATGCTTCCCTGTTGGGCGCTGTAAACGCTTCTGCGTTTCTCCTTACACAAGGATGTAGGGGGGTGCCCCCCCCCCTAAAAAAAAGAAAAAAGATATAACCGCCACCTACATCTGCTGCCCCTCTGTATGTACACGTAAATTTGGCCTTGCGAGACCAATTATGTTACTGATTGAGTAAGACTGTGGCCAGAGATGAGAGTTACGAGTCGTGAAAGCTGCGGTGAACATAAAATATAATGAAGTGTATCGTTGTTTGGCCTGATATTAACGGGTAGTTGTCTAGAAAATGATTAATAACAGTTTAGCCTTGTTAATGTGTATACAGTTGTGTCATGTTATCGTAATCCACGGGCTATTATCCTAATGAAGTGGAAAATTTATCACTATATATTTATTATTACCAGGGGTTTAATTCTCGGATAATTAATTCGAAGCTTGGCACTCTTTTTTCCTTTTATTATTTTTTAACGGGATTTCTCGAGAGCGAATATCAAACAACCAATAACTAATACTTTTAAGTGATATCTGGTCATATTTTGACAAATTAAGATAAAAGTTGTCATTAATATATCTTGCTATAGGGCGGCCCGAAATAGGGTTTTAAAAGTTCTGATATTGCATTTGTAAATGTTTGGTTATTTATAGTCAAAGATCACAAACGTGGAGGTGGCATGACGTATATGATCTTTTGAGTATTTGTTAAATGACATTATCGCTTTAAAAGAAGTCACTGTATTACGGCTAAAAAAAATATTGAATTTGTTTAAAGATATTAAGTGAGAAAGTTTAAACTTTGGTGTTTACGCTTTTTAAATTTATCTTCATTGAAGTCGTCATTCTTAGACCACGTCATCACATATTCAAATGAATATCACCGTACACATGGGTTTAATTCTATCCTCGTATTTAAGGAACTGAATCACTGTACTCTGTTATTCTCGTTGTCACCATCAAGGTGACAAAATCCTGACAAACAATATTTTCTTCGAGCCGGATGCCGTCAAACCGGATGTGAACACTATAGCCTTCAGGCGAGTCTCTTTCCGCTGTGTACCTTACGCTTCGTCGCTGTTACTGCTGTTCTCAAGCATCACAGCTAAACCTGAGCGGATCTGGTATATAAAATAGCGTTCTTGACCTCTGCGGTTTCACTCTCTTGGCTCACGCGTGGTCATATGCCATTACGCCTTACACAACACTCGTGTAGGTCCTACTTTCACTTGTTTTTTGGTATTCTATTTTATCTAGATTTTAGTACAAGGGACTAATATTGTCTATTGGGTTCTATTTAACTCACAACGTCCCTCGCTCTGTCGCACGCTATCTTTATAAGTCGGCCCTGGAAAGTTAAGAGTGCATTGTAAGTAAAGTATAAATTATTTTATAACGTAAAAATCAGGAATTAACGCTGCAAACAGCATTCATAAAAATATATTGATCACCTAAGAATCGAGCGATCACAGTTGACAAAATAACCAACAGGTGCTAGTGACGTATCCAGAACTTAGCCAATCAGAATGCTGAACGAATTGCTGATGAGTGATTAATTTTCATTCTCTATTCAGTATCACATTGGCACCAATAGCAATAAAACAAACAAATCAACATTATTTTTTATGCCAATGCAGCGTCTTATATCATAAGAAATTTTTCAACAAAAGCTACTTCTCCTATTTAACTTGACGGAAACCAGATGTTAGATCAGAAATACCAAGTGTACAAATTGGGTTTCCCACTGTCTTTACACATATCCAGAGGCTATTTCCAGCCAGTGAAAGCGTTACTCAACTCCAACGAGTGTTTACTATCTTTTGAGAATACGAACTTAAGATCTTTCTAATTGTCGTAAGTTCGAACTTAAGAGAAAAAATAACTTAAAGTAGACCCTTACGATATTTTGAGAATTAGAAAGATCTTAAGTTCGAACTTACGATCTTTCTAATTCTCAAAAGATCGTAAGTATCTACTTTTAAGTGACTTTTTTCTCTTAAGTTCGAACTTACGATCTTTCTGATTCTGGTGTCATCACATAGCCATTACTAGCTGTTCACAACTAGCAGCTTATGAGCACCCCTAGAAGCATCACGTAGAGTCGTAGACCTTATGGGAGCATCAATCAGCCTCCTCAGAGGCAAATGGCTCGTAAGAGCCACACACATCCCCAAGTTACCACAAATAACACTGCCTTGAAAATAATTTTTAACATGTACAACATTTGAAAAAAAAATACAATTACAAAAGTTTATCCAGAAGAAAAATTAATTGGTTACAAAGCAAGTTGTGAACACGTAAAATATAAATTACTGGTAATTAAGGTAAATTGTTAAACTATTGCTATACAAAGTTCTCAAATTATAGCTACAGAGTATTTGGCTTTTGGGCTTTTTCTTACTATATTTATTATTATTGATTTATTGGTAATTTTTCACTGAAACTATGATTTTCCGGTGGGTTTTGATGTATTATTAACGAATTTGACCTTCATTTCTGGCGCAAATCAAGTTTCTGAGATACGCCCCCCCATTTCAGAATCTAGAGATTTGCTAAAAATTAAGGTAAAAAGTGTTCAAGACCCTTAAAAAAAATCCTCGCAAAAACAATTTTGAACCTAGTCGAACCTAACGTAACCTAACCAGCAGTCTCCACAGCCGTTCGATGTTCTGGGTGTGTACCGCCACGTACGAACATACATACATAACATTTTAAATGTCTTGTTCTACGTAATTAGCGCCAGAAATGACATTGTAGAAGTGTCTTAGAATTGTTAAATTTACCAACTGCCGCTATACAATTCACGGGATCCGTTTAGTGGCAAAAGTGAAAGTAATATTTTCATACATAATAAAATGTTACCTATTTCGCTTATTCGTAATTTGCGGGAGCAATGCCATTAAAGAAAAGCCCCTTAGAATTTTTTGTAAAAATTACTGATTGCAAACTTTAAAGTTTCCGAGATTTGTTCAGTGGCAACAAGTGCAATAATACATTATTATTATTATTATTAAGTTTGGGCGCAAGACGAATGTAAACAATTGTGACATTTAAATAGACATTTAAAGGGCTCATGACATACCTTATTTGCCAAGCGATTTTCCTCTAAGCTTGATGACCTTCTCCAAACGTTGTGGGATGCATCTTGCCAGTTTTTCTACGTGTTGGGGAATGATATTGTCCCAAATATCCTGTATTTCTAATTTTAGCTTCGCTACTGTCGAAGCGTCACGATCCTGAAGCTCTTTTTTAATGATATGCCACACGTGCTCTATGGGATTTAGGTCTGGTGAATTCCCAGGCCACTTTTTGAAGTAATCTACACCACAGTCCTCTAACCACTGGATAATAGATCGAGCTGTGTGAGCAGGAGCTCCATCTTGCATAAACCAGCTAGCGTTACACTTTTCAAAGCTTTCAGGCAGGTTATCACACAATAACTCGAAATAACTGTGCTGATTTACACTCATTTTTTTCAAAAAATACTAAATTGCCAACTCCACCAAATGCAAAGCATCCCCACACCATAACACTTGGAGCATGCTTTACAACTTTAGCTGTGTAGCGGGGGTCATTTGGGTCCGATCCTTTGGGACGCCTGACACGCTTGGACCTGCAGCCAGACGACACCACAAACGTTGACTCATCACTCCACAAGACTTGTTCCCAGTCTTCTACGGTCCAATCCTTATATTTCTTGCTAAAAGCAATGCGATCCCGTACATTTTTTGCACTTAAGAGGGGAAGAACTTTAGCACAACAACTGCGATATTGTAAATCTTTGAGTAAATGATCAGAAATACATCTTACAGACACGTCCTGGAGCAGTGCAGGGTTATTTTCCATCAGTTTTCGAGCTGTGAGTGTTGGATTTTTATCCAACTGCCTCTTTATAACCTTGGAAGTACGATTTTGTATTTTCCTTGGCCTACCAGAGCGAGGCTTGGGGGTAGGAATATCCTCACCTCCGCCGTCTCTAAATTTCTTGATCCACTTTTGAACTTGCCGCACTCCTATTCCCACACGAGTGGCTATATCTTTACACTTATAACCCTCCTTATAGAGGGTTATAATAGCAACAATTGTGTCTCTTCCCAGCTCTTTACCACTTCCCATTACAGAGATATTGAGGCACAAACACAGAAAAAAACGCAAAAAAAACGACTAGTCCGCGTGAGAGAAGTTTACACACTGCACCCACGTGCTCACTGAAGCGACTAATCAGAGTTGCCAAGTCGTGCGTATTGTCTCGCCTAAATAGCGGTACAAACCCTAGCATTGAAATATAGCTTAAAGTTTGTGCGGAAATTGGTATTTATCGTATGTTTTGATAATAGCGGAAAGTTTGGGCGCCTGTAATTTTGCGCCCAAACTTTCCGCTACCACTGTACAGTATATGCGTTTATTTTTATTTTTTATTTGAACATTATAGAGAATGAGGGTAAAATCACAAATACACTTGATTAATTGTGTAGACCTGGAAGAGCAGAGTGAGAGATAATTGAGGGACGTGGAGACAAAGAATTAGAAACTAGAGATACATCACCAAATCACATGTATAAAAACTAATGCTGAGTTGTGTGTCTCACAGACCCGGATAAAGAGGCTACTGGTGGTGACGATGATGATGTGGGCGACGACTTGGTCAAATGTGGACGCCCAGTCTGACGGCTTCTTCTGGTGGCTACAGAAAGTGACGACAACACCCATGCCCAACACTAACCCATCCACTACCACGCAGGGGCCAGTCTACTGTGAATGTGTTAAATACTACTTGTGTATTGACAATGTCATTAGCACATCTGGGGTAGACGTCATTGATATCCGTATGGCACGCGTCGGGCCCCCATCCGTCACCAACGTCAAGGAGTGTCCCGATGTTTTAGATGTGTGCTGCGGTCTACCACCTTCTGAAACTACAACACCGCCCATCACGCCCACGCCCACATTACCCCCAGATACACCGTGTGAGTGTGTATCCTTCTTTAACTGCACTAGGGACAGACTGGTAAGTAACGGAGGAGGCAACACAACACTGGAGCTCTTTGGCCTCGGTTATTCCCACTCTAAGTGCAATCAAGCCCTCGCTGTGTGTTGCGCCCTTGACCCAGCAACACCTTCACCCGCAAACATCACTACGGTAGTCACGCCGCTGACCGAGGAGGAGTGTGAGTGTGTGGATCCATTTCAGTGTGATGAGCACGGTTACATCATCACCTCCGGTGTCGGCATAATTAACATACGAACAAGGACTCACTCAAGGAACGACAGCTATCCAGATGAACGATGTGAAGATCCCTCCCTCGTCTGCTGCCGTCCACCCAGAGACTTGAATTCTACCACTACACCACTACCCACCACAACCACCCCTCCACCTACCACCACCCAGCAGCCCGCCCATGGCTGTGGCACTAGGCATTCAGACGGAGTGAGAGTGAGTCTAGCGATTTGTGTAGTGCTGGTGATGGTCCTGTATGTTGCACCCCGGTAGTGAAGAATTTGTATCTTTTCACACCTCTTTCTTCCTCCTCATAATCAACCACCGCTTGTCACACATCTGTGCTATTTTGTCCACATTCTGGAAGGTTCTACCCTTCCCTTGCACCATGCACTAGCCTCAAAAGTTTGAAGCATTTATGTAGCCACTTGTATAAATGTATCTATGCAATGTGTTGTTGCCAAGCTAAGGTGTCATAAGGTAACAAGGAAGTGCCAAAGGTGGGTTTCCATGTGACGAATTTCTCTGCTTCTCATAGATACAATATATACAACTTAAAATATCTAATTTTATCTCTATTTTAAATAATAATTCTTAAGAGGATTCTTCACAATTGTTAAAATTTGGTTTAAATTTAGAGCCAAAGATTTTTTTTTTATAAAAGTTTTAGTTCAGTGAATGGGCGATCCCTGTTCACAAGTAGAGGTCCAGGGTTCAAGTCCCGGCTAGTGAGGTATTGTTTGTATATGGAAGTCTGCATGCTATATGGCCTGTATATATATATATATATATATATATATATATATATATATATATATATATATATATATATATATATATATATATATATATATATATATATATATATATATATATATATATATCTGTGTGTCCGCACGAGAATCTCGGAAACTACTTTACCAATCTGTAATCTGTAGTGACGATGAATGATGTCATATAATGATGATGGGTGGTGTTATATGTAGTGATGATGGATGGTGTTGTATGTAGTGATGATGGATGGTGTTGTATGTAGTGATGATGGGTGGTGTTATATGTAGTGATGATGGATGGTGTTGTATGTAGTGATGATGGGTGGTGTTATATGTAGTGATGATGGATGGTGTTGTATGTAGTGATGATGGATGGTGTTATATGTAGTGATGATGGATGGTGTTGTATGTGATGATGGATGGTGTTGTATGTAGTGATTATGGGTGGTGTTATATGTAGTGATGATGATGATGTTATATGTAGTGATGATGGATAATGTTATATGTAGTGATGATGGATGATGTTATATGTAGTGATGATGGATGGTGTTGTATGTTGATGATGATGGTGTTATATGTATGGATGATGGATGGTGTTATATGTAGTGATGATGGATGATGTTATATGTAGTGATGATGGGTGGAATTATATGTAGTGATGATGGATGGTGTTATATGTAGTGATGATGGGTGGTGTTATATGTAGTGATGATGGATGATGTTATATGTAGTGATGATGGGTGGTATTATATGTAGTGATGATGGATGGTGTTATATGTAGTGATGATGGATGGTGTTATCTGTAGTGATGATGGATGGTGTTATATGTAGTGATGATGGGTGGTGTTATATGTAGTGATGATGGATGATGTTATATGTAGTGATGATGGATGGTGTTGTATGTAGTGATGATGGATGGTGTTATATGTAGTGATGATGGATGGTGATGATGATGGATGGTGTTATATGTAGTGATGATGGATGGTGTTATATGTAGTGATGATGGATGGTGTTATATGTAGTGATGATGGATGGTGTTATATGTAGTGATGATGGATGGTGTTATATGTAGTGATGATGGATGTTATATGTAGTGATGATGGATGGTGTTATATGTATGGATGATTGATGGTGTTATATGTATGGATGATGGATGGTGTTATATGTAGTGATGATGGATGATGTTATATGTAGTGATGATGGGTGGAATTATATGTAGTGATGATGGATGGTGTTATATGTAGTGATGATGGGTGGTGTTATATGTAGTGATGATGGATGATGTTATATGTAGTGATGATGGGTGGTATTATATGTAGTGATGATGGATGGTGTTATATGTAGTGATGATGGATGGTGTTATCTGTAGTGATGATGGATGGTGTTATATGTAGTGATGATGGGTGGTGTTATATGTAGTGATGATGGATGATGTTATATGTAGTGATGATGGATGGTGTTGTATGTAGTGATGATGGATGGTGTTATATGTAGTGATGATGATGGTGTTATATGTAGTGATGGATGGTGTTATATGTAGTGATGATGGATGGTGTTATATGTAGTGATGATGGATGGTGTTATATGTAGTGATGATGGATGGTGTTATATGTAGTGATGATGGATGGTGTTATATGTAGTGATGATGGATGTTATATGTAGTGATGATGGATGGTGTTATATGTATGGATGATTGATGGTGTTATATGTATGGATGATGGATGGTGTTATATGTAGTGATGATGGATGATGTTATATGTAGTGATGATGGATGGTGTTATATGTAATGATGATGGATGGTGTTATATGTAATGATGATGGATGATGTTATATGTAGTGATGATGGGTCGTGTTATATGTAGTGATGATGGATGTTATATGTAGTGATGATGGATGTTATATGTAGTGATGATGGGTGGTGTTATATGTAGTGATAATGGGTGGTGTTATATGTAATGATGATGGATGGTGTTATATGTAATGATGGATGATGTTATATGTAGTGATGATGGGTGGTGTTATATGTAGTGATGATGGATGGTGTTATATGTAGTGATGATGGATGATGTTATATGTAGTGATGATGGGTGGTGTTATATGTAGTTATGGTCAGACAATAAAATAATAACAGTTTAATGCTTAAAAAATATACTTTGCTATATCGTTATAGTGAAAAACATGGTGGAACTTACATACACCGTTAATGAAGTATTGATGGAATAAGTTTTGGGGACTGAACAGTGAGACAATGTGGAGCCTCCAGGAGGGTGGCGTCCTACCATGACCTAGCAAATGAGCCCCCCGGAGGGCGGCGTTTCTGCTAGTATATATATATATATACCTCACTCAGAGGGAATTGAACCCTGGATCTCTACGTGTGATGAGTCTGAATTTCATTTCAAATTGGTACACATACGATTGTAATAATTTGTTAAGTGCTTTAAACTATTTTATTGTGTCATATATATGTGTGTGTGTAGTGTTTGTGCTGTAATTCCAGTGTTTGTTTGTTTATTCTACTGTTTTTGTAATTGTTTTTGTTTGTTTTGTCTTCTCAATGTATATTTCAGTTTCTTAATAAATATGTTCACTGGAGCAAACAACCAATTTTGTTTGTTATTCAGCATGTTAGTCTTGTCGCAAAAGTATCGCGATATATGTAAATATAAATGTACCCTAAACATTTCTTTATACTAAGTATTAGAATAGTCAGTTAATTATAATCTTACAATCCTATTTATTCGGATGAAATAACAAAGTACTGTAAGTGTTTAAATGTGCCGCGGAATGATGACTCATAACAAAGGAAATATTTTGCCAGGAGGTATAATTTCTATCTTCTAAATTATGATTTACCAAATTAAAAAAAAATACTTCTTAATGAAACAATAAGTTGACCAAAATACAAATAATTACAATTTATCGTTTAGGTGGTGTCAGTTAAACCAGTAACGAGCCAACGACTCTAGAGAAAAGACCTGCCAACTGACTTACCAACCACTAGACATCTGAGAGCCTTTTATGAACTATGAACCGAGAATATGTCCATTTCAGTTTTAACAAGACGTAATAGAATTATAAACGTATATATAACCATAGAAGTCAACACCAGCCCAGCTGTCCAAAATGTTTCATCGTCAAAGCTAAGGACATATATTGTTATATTACAGAATAGGACTTTAAATCATCTAAACCTGACTGTGTATATTGTCACTGGTGTTAATATGCAGGTACAATTCAGCTGGGAAATGCTTTGATCAATTCATCTTATGGTGGTGCAAAAGAACACTCAAGTTGCTAAGATTCAATGTCACGAAGTGTAAGAGGATGCTCCTGGGTCGTGCTAATGGTAAGGAGGCATATCATATGTCCCAACTGGACGAAGAAACTGCATTAATAGAGACCAAATGCGTAAAGGACCTGGGTGTGTATGTTGACAACAAACTGATGTTCTTGGGCCACTGGGAGAAAAAGGTGACTCGAGCAACTAAACCAATAGGTCTTAATTATGTGCTAGTGTTGTGAAGAGGCAATGTAAGACCATTACCCTTGCTACGAAAATGGATGTACAGTATTAACCCGATTTGAAAAAGGGGAACGAGCTGTGGACATAGCAGGTGTGCTTGGTCTAACCCCCACAACATTGCGTACTATCCGGACCAATGCTGACAAGATTAAGTTTAGTGCTGGAAGTGGTTCTTCTCTGAGTACTACTAAGACTACACATACTGGAAGAACTGTGATAAAGAAGGTGGAAAAGATGCTAGCAATGTGGATGGAGGACCAGAATCAACACAATGCCCCTGTGAGCCGTATGGTTATCCAGCATAAGGCCCAATCCCTGTTTGATGAATTAAAGGCAGAAGAGGGTGAAGGATCGAAGGAAGAGACTTTACGGCCAGCCAAGGATGGTTTCAACTTCCACAATATTAAGATGACTGGTGAAGCTGCCAGTTCAGATACAGTTGCTGCTGAGATATTCCCGCCAGAATTCAAACAGATTATCCAGCAAGGAGGCTACTCACCGAAGCAAGTCTTCAATGTGGATGAGACTGGTCTCTTTTGGAAGATGCTTGAGAGGACCTATATCTCTAAGGAGGAGAAAAGAGCGCCAGATTTTAAAGCGACAAAATACCGCTTGACGCTGCTGCTAGGCGCGAACGTTGCCGGCGACTTCAAGCTGAAGCCTATGCTGATTTCTCGGGCTGCTAACCCATGGGCCCTGAAAGGTCACTCTAAGGATCATCTTCCTGTCATTTGCAAGGCAAACAGAAGGCATGGATAACCGGCGTCATATTTAGCTAGTGATTAAATGTGTACGCTGTCCCTGCAATGAAGGATTACTGTGCCAAGGAGATCCTCGACTTCAAAATTCTTCTAATCGCTGACAATGCTCCAGCTCATCCTCCCAATCTTGACGACTTGCATGACAGTGTAAAAGTT